TGTGTGTTCGTGTGTTAATGTTTACTGGTACCTTGGGCTTCTCTACATTTCCAGCCAGTTCTGCAATTAGATTGGCTGAGGGCCTGGTTCTGATCATGGAATAGCTGAGTGAAGCCATGGGACTCACGTCCCTGTGATAGCTTAGGTCGTGTTTGCTACTGTAGCACAATATGGCCTCCCTGGCTGACACAGACAGATTGCCTGAATTGAGCTACGCCTTACTACATATCTACTGCTAACACAAAGTATTATGGACTAGATAATTTAAAAAGAAAGGAATTTTATTTGGCTCATTATCTCAGAGCCACTAAATTCAAGAATGTGGCCCTGGCATCTGCTGTGCTGTGCTGTATTATGGTAAAAGGTGGAAAGGTGAGAGCAAGCTAGCAAGAGAGGGTGGAGGAGAGCCAAAGGTACTATTGTAACAAACATCTGTTGTGATAATTAACTCACTCCTGTGTTAATTGTGATGGCTACACCTTCATGATCAATCACTTCTGGTTAAGCCCCATGGCCTAACCGTGTCACCCTAGGGATCAAGCCTATCACTGAACAAGAAGCTCATCTGTTGCAGCTAGGCTGGCTGGTTAGTGAGTTCCTGGGATCTGCCCATCTCTGCCTGCTAATGATGAGGTTACAGGCACATGGAACCATGTTCAGCTTTTAGGTGTATGTTAGGGGTTCTAATGCATGGCTTCATGCTTGCACATCACGCACTTTTACTGACTGACCTATCTATCTACTTTCTGCATTGCTTTGGGCAACTATCAGTTTAGCACTGAAATCAGTCAGAAAACCCAGATTCATGTCATCACTCATCTGACTTCTGATTTTCCATATGGAACCAACAGTATTTCCAAACTTGTTTTTTAACTTCTAAACCTGGTCTGACAGCCTCAATCTACTGATTTAATGAAGTTAGGCAAGAATCCAAATGAAAGGAACAACCAGAAAAGCCACAATGATAAATGTAAGCAATTAGCATGTCGTTAACATCAACCTAACCTGTCTGTGGGATTTTTTTTTAACCTTTTATTCTGCAATCAATATAAATGTGCAGGAAATGGCTATTAAAAAGTACATTGCTGTTATTCAATTTATCCCTATGAAGATTGCATAACTACAGCTCGATATCAAAACCAGGAGATCAACATGGGCACAATTCATAGTGGCTACTTAGATTTCCCACATATTACATGCACTTGTGTGTTTGCGAATATGTGCATGTAACTATGTGAGGTTTTATCTAACGCTAGATTTGTGGACCAGCCATGACACTCAGTGTCACAGTCAGTTGACTCCCTGTCGCCCGCAAGATGTCAGCTATCACAACACTACATCTGCCTGCATGCCACCATGCTCCCCATCATGATGATAATGGACTCAACCTCTAAAACTGTAAGCTGCCACCCCAATTAAATGTTTTCTTTATAAAAGTTGCTGTGGTCATGGTGTCTCTTCATAGCAATAAAAACCCTAACTAAAACAGAGGGTTAGTTCATGATCATTATGGTGGGAAGCTGAGGTGGGATGTCCTTCTGTATACTATGAATATATGTTCTCATTGGTAATTAAAAGCTGCTTTGACCTATGGCAAGACAGAATATAGCTAGGCAGGTAGGCAGGAAATCCAAACAGATATACAGGAGGAGTGTGGGACTGAGAGAAATTTGAGCC